TCATTCATGTGGACGTACACTTTGATTCTTTCAGATATTCAAACTGATATTCTGCCTTTCTTAAGTTGGATTTTATTAGCCATGTAATTATTGAGCATGCCCAAATAGAAGAAATAGTAGCTATAAAAACAAGTATATCAGGTAACTGTGAAACTAGCATGCTTTGAGATGATGCATATTTCCTGAAAAAAAAATTGCCAAGACATAACATCTTTTTGGGGAAAAAATAGTGTTATGTATGACTTTAGAATTTATAATACTAGATTGTAAAGGGCTAATATGTAATTATTCATTGAATACTAATTAAGTTATTCTACTTAATTAATTCTTCAGTTGGAAAAATTTTAGACTGTTTTCTACAGTGCCAGTTTATGTTAATTAATATCAAAGGTACCAAATAGTTCACTTGTTTAATGATTTGAGAAATGACCCTGATTGTCTTGGTCTTTCTGTATAAGGACTTCCAAAGTCTTGTCATTTGGCATTGTGTGTTTCTTGCAAGTTGTAATGTAATGTTAATTTTTTTTATTCCTTTTAGGAACTTAATTTCTTAAATTCTAAACTATCAGATTTAAAAATAACTTTCATTAATTCCCCAAAACATGACTATGTCAGGGGAAGTGTTATTTCTCTAACATCTGAATCAGGAAAACCTGAGCAGGAGCTGATTGTTTGTGCCCTCCTGCTGCTGTCTCTCAGCGGGGTGCCTTCACACTTTACTTCTTGCCTGCCATGGCTCTGTACTTCAGGTCAGGCAGTTCCTGAACCTCTCTACCCAGTGCACATTTCCATCGTTCTACAGTGTTTCTTAACACAGGAAGTTTGTTTCTGAGCTGGGCACTTCCACGCGCACCTATAGTCCCAACCCTCTGAGAGGCTAAGGCCGGAGGATCACAAGTTCAAGCCTAGATTGGGCAATTTAGCAACTTTGTGCGACTGTCTAAAAGTCTCACTGTGCTAGGGTTGTAGCTGTGTGAAGTTTCTGGGTTCAATCTCCAGTACTGCCAAAAGAAAGAAAGGTTTATTTCTTATAGAACAGAGTGGCGTGGCAGGGATGTTCATTAGTCAGGTTCATTAAAGTGCATTTTTTTTTTTTGGTACCGGGAATTGAACTCAGGACCTTGCACTTGCCAGGCAGGTGCTTATGCTACTGAGCTATATCCCCAGGCCCTTCAAGTGCTTTTTAATGCACAGATATTTTTCTTATTTTAATGGTGTTTTTACATCTTAAGAAATAGTATGCGTTACTTTGTTGCCAAGTATGATACTTTAGTATCCTGTTTGTTGCTTAAAGCCTCATCAGCTGTTCCAGGATGTGGTCCCTCTGGTGCTGCAATGTGAAGAACCTACAGGTGACTAGGAGTGTAGCTCTTCTGCCCGCCTCCTGTTGGGCTTCAGGTTGAATGCTGGTGGCTTTTTCCCCACACATCAGGCAGTTTTGCAGTGGACTGTCCAGTGTGCTTCAGCCAGCTGTCCTTTAGCTTGGTTCTGACATCGTCTACTTGGAGATCCTGTCAGATTCACAGATGGAGGGTTCAGTTCCATAGGACTGCCCCTGCCTTAGATGCCATTTGCCCAGTAGTGGGTTGTCACCTGTACTTCTTAGTAATTGGCCATAAATTGGGGTGTTCCTGACCTACTCAGTGGGTTGCATTAATTCTCTAGAGAGATGCACAGAACTCAGGGAAACACTTTATTTATAGTCACTTTTATTATAAAGGATGTTACAAAGTCTTTCCTGTGACCAGCTCTCATCCAGAAGCTGCTTCAGTGCTACCAGATATCTGGTCTCATTGTTAGCATATAAAAGATAGCCTCATTACTCCAGAGGATATTTCATGAGTTCCAGGAGCTTTATGTTTGGAAGCTGGGAGGAACACACTAGATCTGTATTTCCCAGTGTCACAGCTTTCAGTAGCTCCTGAGGTGTGCCTTCATCACTACTGATAACCCTACTTCACAGAGCAGAAAGAAAGCACTTCCTCTGCTGTTGCCCTTTTCTGATTGGGAATGCTTTACAAATTTTCTTTTCTGAAGCTCTGTAGGACTCTCTCTATATATAAATTCGTGCTATCTCTTTAAAGTTTTTAAAACAAAAGAGATTAACAGTAACAATAATAAGAGAAAAATAGATAAAATAAATGAGGTTTAAAATAATGAAAGAGAAGAGGCTGTGTAAAACCTTGATAGTTGTCCCGAATGGGCATGTACGACCCTAAGCAGGCTTGATGTGACATCAGTCTTTGTTCCACGTGGAGAGTGCGGTAGTGAATGGTCTGAGAGAAAAGGGTTCTGTAGAAGTGTAAGGGGAGGCATGCTGTGCAGTGCCTGGAGAGACCAGGGCGAGCTAGGCATTCCAGGCAGTATAGAGACCTGGGAGCAGAGGGGCAGGTTGCCTAGGCTGGGTTTGAACTTGCAATCCTCCTGCCTCAGCTTTTCAGAGTGGTAAGATTACAGGTATGCACCACCGTACCTGGCTGCAGTTATGGGTCTTGAATGGGAGTGGCTTCTGGACATTTTGCCAGGAGTTTGGGCTAGAACAAAATGGGAGAGTTGGGCATTAAGTGTTTTTCATGCTGTGGTAAAAGTTTACTCCATTTTTATCTTGATGGTGGAATAAATAATTGTACAGTTTTAAATAGAGGAAGAGCGTGACTGTTCGATTTTAGAAAGATCACACATTGTGGAAGATGCATGGAAGGGTGGTAAACCATGGTTAAAAGAGGTGAATTTGGAACTTCTTGCTGGTGAGAAGTGATGGGACCCAAAACTCGGGGAGCGGAAGAAGAAAGGGGCCAAGGTTTGCAAGCTGTTAGACAGGACTCAGGAGCCACTCACACATGGCATCAGAAAGGAGGACTTCTGGAATAGCTTCTGTGTCTTTTCTTGGGCAGTTTGGAGTATGGAGGCGTTACTGGGAAGTAGAACCTAGCAGAAGAATTGTGATTGTTAGATGTGAGAAACCTTTTGAGTAGAAATGTCTGGCAGGTGGGGGCTGTGCAGACATCTGACATTAGAGATTGTGGACATTGGTATTAGAACTGTAAAAATTATGGATGGGATTGTAAAAAATTGTAAAAAAGACTGCATGAGTAGAGCTGGAATTGAGAGGAGAGGAAGGCTGAGAAACAAGCAGAGGGGATTGAAAGGCAGGAAGAGTGAGGCCCTAGCAGGCAGGTGGTGTGGGGTTCAGGGAGGTGGGGTTGGGGTTCATAGCCCTGATCTTAGAAGCTGAAGGTTGCCTCCTGGCTCCAACAGTGTCAGGGCATTCTACACTGAAGGGTGTGGAGCAGACGTGGCTTGGTGGGTCAGGCGCTGGGCACGGGTGACATCTGCTCGAATCTCAGAGTCTGTAAAGGAAAGCTAGCAGGGCACAGGGAAACGACGGGAAACTTTTAGAGACCAAACTGCAACCTGTCACAAAGCTCCAGCACTTCAATTAAACTGGAATACTGAGGTTTTAGTCTAGAAGAAACAAGTCATACAGTAAAAGAAAAACACAGCAACAGAGCTTTCAGTGATACAGGCAACCTACTGTGGCACGTGGGCTGTAGGTTTGCCACCACTGGCTGAAGGAAAGCTTTAGGGAACCAGAAATAATCTCCGTAACTAGGTTCTTAGATAGGAACAGTGGTTCTGTTTCATTTGCAGGAGCTCAAGGTGACCTTGGGAACTGCTCAGATTAACTTGCCATGTATCATATCACTGATTTTTCTTTTTCTCAGATAAAGTTTACTAGATATTATATGTACAGTAAACTCACTTTCTGACTGTAGATAACTGATGGTAGATATATCTGTCTGTTATTTTTTGCCATGTGTGCTGGAAAGGACATTTTGGGTTTGTTCTGCCCTTTGAGTCAGCCTCCCCTGAATGTACACATGGGTGTAGCAGGTGAACTGTGGCTGTGGGCAGTCCTGTCCACCCCCCTCTCAGCTGTGTGGGGCACAGCCTCCCACGCTGCTGGTGTGCGCTCCTTCCCAGCACCTCAGACTGCTCTCAGAACAAGTTGGTGAATCCCTCTCTGTGTGCATGCATGGGACTCACGTACTTCAACAACTTTGTATTTTAAAAGAATGAGCCTTTGGGTTTGTATGGTTTTTTTCATGGTGCTGGGAACTGAGCTACCGTGATAATACCTTTTACAAATCTGTATTCTGTTTATGTTAAGGTTATCCAGCCTAGTTTTATATTCCCATAGATAAAAATAAAATTAAACTGGGCATGATGGCACATGCCTGTGATTCCAGCACTTGGGAGAATTGCAGCGAGTTCATGGCCAGCCTGAAACAAAAAAATGAGACCATATTTCAAAAGGCCAAGAAAATATTGTTTCATAGAATGATTGATATGATCAGTTACATTTTCAACAAGTGACAAAAATAAATTTGTATAATTTACAGGTATTTCATTAAAGTAATACTATCTTCCTGGACTTAGGGTAGTTGGACTTTGATTTCTGTGCCAGTGCCACTGCCCAGGTGCTGCTGAGTGGGTTCTCAGCCTGTGTATCTGGACACAGGGGTGGGCATTGAGGGGTGGAGGCTCTCCAAGCACTAAAGTGGGCGCAGGGGGGAGGCTCTTATGGGCCAGTGCAGTCCTCTGAATGGAGTTCTCTAAACTCCCAAGTAGTCCACAGGAAGTCACAGATTTCACAGTTTATGCAGAAGTCACTTCAGCTTGAAATTCGTGTGAACCAAACATGATATGAAAGACTTTAGGCTCTGAGATGATTGTTTTGATTTAATAACAAATATTTATGAAAATATTTAATAATATAGGAAGATTTTAAAGATCGTTGCAAATTCGTATGGTGGAACGCTATACAATCATTGGTTTTGGAAACATGGTGTTAAAAATGCCTATATTTTGTTGAAGGTAAAAGAGGTACAAAAGTGTTATGCAATACCCACTTAAAAACATAGTCACAGAAATAATTTAAAATGAATTACATGGTAATGATCTAATTGAAGAAGCATAAAATTTTTTTTCTATTTCAGCTAATCTTCCTGTGCCCACAATCGCAGCAATAGATGGACTCGCTTTAGGTGGTGGTCTTGAACTGGCTTTAGCATGTGACATACGAGTAGCAGGTGAGAGCTGATCTTATTCAACCTGTATTGTAAAGCAATGTAGTGTATGTAATCTTCGGGTAACTCCAGATATCTTCTGTTGCCTGTAGAACATTTTCAGAAAAGTATGCTGGACATAATGTTTTGTTTAAAATTCTCTTTAAGAAAACAGTCTTTTGTTCTCTTTCACTCAGTGTTAGCAATAGAGACACCAAGATTTGGGTGGAAAAGAACTGAGTTTGAAGCTTAGGTCCTGCTCTTCAATCAGTTTCCTTCTCTCTGAAATGGGGAAATGGCTTTTGCTTGTGAAATTAGTCTAGGAAGTTGCCTGTGGATGTGCTTAGTCTTAGCACTTCAGTGACTGCCAGACGTAATAACAATAACTTAATCCCTTTAAGTTCACTTTCGTCCTGAATGGTTTTCTGAGTACTCGGGGATCAGTTACAGATATAATGAAAACAGTTAGTGTTAACCACTTACTGAGTGCTGAGAGGTGTCATGAAACCTGATTTGTATGTTCATCACACTCAGTCTGCCTGGCAACCCCATCATCGGTGCCTTGGGGTATGGAGGGAAGCTGGAGCACAGAGAGGGAAGTCACAGTCCCATAATAGTGCCAGGCCTGGGTCACAGCCCTCACTTGTTATGGAGTGAGTGTGTGTACTGGTCTGCTGTGTGTGTTCCGGACACCATATTTGGTGATCCCTCACCACAGCCCGTTGTCACTGAGCTCTGGAACTGAGAACCGGGGGAAGTAGACAGCAGAGTTGGGACTGTTCTTCCCTGGCTCCCCATCACTATGTGCGTGCATATTGAAAGTGGAGTTAACATAATTGACATTTGAATAACTTTGTGTGACTGTATCTTGGGATTTTTAGTTGCTTATTCATGTGTACTTTTGCATCCTTTCTATTTTATTTTAGATTCCTATGTTTTGTGATGAAAGTATTAATTATTTTTTCTGGTGCTGGGAACCACTTAGATTTTAAACTGAAAAGCTAAGGCACACATAATCCATCTTGAAAGAATGCATGTTCTGGGAATGAGGATGTAGGAAATGGTCATAAGTACATTGGTATATGCATATAAAGAAAATTAAGGTGTTGTAATGTATCCATGAAAGCAAACACAAAAAGAAGAACCCTTTCCAGCCATCACAACAATAAAACCTTACGTCAGAAAGTAGCTAGAGACTTGGTCCTGAGAGGTTGCCTTGTCGAGTATGATACAGTAAGCCGTTCCATCCTGAGGAACTGTTCAGGCAGTTAAAGAATTCATCCTTGTCAGGCATAATCTCTCTCACAGTCCTGAATAATTGATGGAGATCTAGGCCTTCAAATATGACTTGACAGTATCAAGTCTAATAATGTAGTTACAATTCAGTTCTTCCACCATCAAAACTAATTCACTGCCAAGCACTGTTTAACAGAAAACGTTATGTGATTCTTCTTATGTATGTCATTTAGAGTGTTTATTTTCAGAAATAAGTATCTCTTGAAGAGGTTTTAAAAAAAAATTGTGACACCAGTTTAATTAGTATGCAAAGTATTTTTGGTGTGTCTTCGTTTACTAACTTTCTCAAGTTGTCATATTACAATGTGATGATATGGATGTTCCTTAATTTTCTTTGTTTCTTTTTAGCTTCCTCTGCAAAAATGGGCCTGGTTGAAACAAAGTTGGCAATTATTCCTGGTGGAGGTATGAGTTGTACTTTTATTCCCAGATGCAGTCTGTAAAGCAAAAATTAATAGAAAAGGCAGCATTTTGGTGAAGAGACTAATGCCACCCTAGATAATTAGTATGTGAAGGCGGACCGTTTGATTCTCTGGTACAGTCCCTGTTCAGAGCATGCTCAGGGCATGGTCCTTCAGTAGAGGGCAGTGATTGTACTGGCTGTTGCTTGCTTTTCAGCTATCTTCTGTGCTTTTCTGTTTTCCTTCTGAAGTTTTAAATGACAGCCCACATTGTTGGCACATTTGGGTCTTTTTTCTTCAGGTTACACAGCTGCTGTGAGCCCTGCATGTGAACACATGCTTCCTTACTGAGCTTGGAACATCACATGCACAACCAGCCCCTGAGTGGAGCAGGGCAAAGGGCTTCTGTGTCTGCCGACTTTCTGTCATTCACAATACCTGAGTGAAGCACCTTAGAAGAAGGACAGCTTTGTTCTGGCTCTTGGTTTCAGTCTGGGGAGGCTGGTTCCCTGGCATTTGGGCCTGTGGCATTAGAGTAGGAGCATGTGGCATAGGAAACTGCTGACCTCCTGGCAGCTGTGACCCCCAAGACAGAGAGAGGAAGGGAAGGTCCTCATAGCCCTTTCAAGGACATGTCTCCAGTGACCTTTTCCATTCCACAGCCTGAGCTCCTAGACAGTCTCCTACTTCCAGGAGTGCCACGGGGGGGTACCAAGCTTCAGCAGCTCAGGCCTTTGGGGAACAGTCGCATTCACATGACAGCAGCCTCCTGTGGGTCAGCTTCCTTGTTTCTGTGTAGCAGGACTGAGGTTGGAGTTGGTGAATCGCTTGAATTTGTAGCTAAAGACGTGTATTTATCCTGTTGTCATGAAAAAGATAGGTGAGGTGCTTCTTTTGGAAAAATCATTTAAGAAAATGCCTTTGTAACATTGATAATGAAATCTTCCATCATCCAATAAATGTGAAATATTTGCTATTTTGAATCAGAGAATTTGGAGATATTCCCATTTTGTGCAGTCATCTTTCAAAAAGTAGACGTCATTTAAGTATGTGCATGGCGTATTAACCCTCCTTAGTACCGTTCCCATATAGGTGACCATTTACCAGTATATGAATGAAATAACCGTCTAAAAATGTAGCAGTGACTGTTAGACATGAGAGACATGATGCATATGAATAGGTTAAAATTGTGTTTTACCTTAGCGTACAGTGTTTATGTAGTAATAGATAATTATATACTAGTAAATGTATAATAATAAGACTTTATTGGTAGAAACTGCACCATAAGTTACAGTGAGCTGAGCAAAGCCTGCCCACATCAGTGTGTGAGAGAGACTCTTATGTTCAGTAACCCAGGAAAGGTCTATTCTTTGGGCCCAAAGCACTCATGTCTGTGAATATACAAGGCATGCCTGCCTTGTATACAGTAACCAATAAGATCACCGCAAGGATTTAGGAAGAAACGGACCCACTTGAAAAAATGATCACTAATATGTGAAGTAAAGCAAAATTGAGCAAAAGCATGGCATGACATGTTTTTGAAACCCTTTAAGTGGTGACTGTTCATTGGTGATTCAGGTGTAACTGACCCTGGTGAGACCATGGCTGTAATGGATTGGCTGGTGCCTCCTGCCTCTGACTCTGGTGTATGTGACCCTAGATCCTCAGGAAAGGCTCAGTGCAGATGACATAACTGAAGGAGCTTCAGGGGCGGTCATTCTGGGTTATCCGAGGGGATTTGAGTCCAGTGGGGAAGACTACTTATGAGACGGAAAAGGCACATAGAGAGAGATCTTGGAAAGATAGACGGAGTGACACATCTCTAAACCATGAAATCCCAAAGGTTTCTAACAGCCACCAGAGAGAGGTGGGAGAGATTCCCAGAGGCTCCACAAGGATCAACCCTGCACACACTTTGATTTTGGTCTTCTGCCCTCCAAAATTGTGAGACAATAAATTTTTCTTGTTCAAAAGCCATTGAATTTGCCATAACTTGTTACAGCACTCCTAAGAAACAGATGCATGACTTTTAATGCTGTGTTAGTACTGTTTTTGGGCAGGGCTGGTAGATGGCAGAATTTGGGGATGGGAGGAAGATGAGCTTGGTGATTTGGGTATTTACTGTGTTTTGAATAACTAGTATTTTATGTTAAAATGACCCAAGTATATGTATGGTTTTTAGGACCCTTTTCAATAATAGATTTGTGTCAGAACCTACTTTTTATATATTTGCTTGAATTTGGATTGTGTTTTCTCATGAGAAGAATTATTGAATTTTTACTAAATAAATTAATCATAAAGATCAGACTGCTTTAAAATAGATGGTTCCCTGCCTCTCCTTTTCTCATAACAAACTCTGTGGAACACATTTGTTGTTCCTTTAGTACCATGGCGCTTTCAAGTTCATAGCTCATAATGTGTTAGGCAGCATTGCATTTTTAAAAAAATGAATCTGATTGCTCTTGAGGCTGCATACTCGGGTAGATACCTACACTTTTATGGTTCACTTTTATGTATTATGGTTCTTAAAGTCCCCGAGTAAAGGCTTTTTATTGTTTTTTTTTTTCTCGCTCTTTAAATTCTTGATCAGTTTGTTTGAAATAGAATTTTACAGCCAGGCACAGTGTCATAACATCTTTAATTGCAACACTAAGGGAAGCTGAGGCAGGAGACAGCAAGTTTGAGTCCTTCCTGGACAACTTAGTGAAATCCTATCTCAGAGTAAAAGAGAGCTGGAGATGTAGCTCAGTGGTAGAGCATCCCTGGGTTCCATCACCAGTCCCACATGCACACATACATATGATTGTATATGTGTGGCCTAAAGGAGCTAGACTAAAGTTTTCATGTAGAAAAGTCCTCTTCTACTCTACTACAGATGATTGTTTTTATCCATAGGTATTTTGAGGCTCCACTTATCCTCTTCTCTTTCCCTTTTACTTTCTTATAGATGATCATTATGTGAAAAAACTGCTGTTATATTTTTGAAAACATTAAAATATATTTAATGGCATGAGTTTTATATTTGAGGAGCATTTTTGTACTTCAAATGAGGAATCTGTGTGTATAATAGAAGTCTTTAAAGGTTGTTTATATTAACAGAAAATAATGGTTTTTTTTTTTTAAGATTTTCTTTAGATTTGCTTTTTTTAAAATGATGCTTCTAACTTGGTGAATTCCGCCGTGTGTAAGGTGAGCTCTGACGTGCCCTCCTTTGGCTCCGCACATTTACTTGTTACTTGTAAACTAGAGGCAGCACATGCCACTAGATTCTTGCCTCCATTCTTGGTGGCTCTCTGTTGACTCAGGATGCTTCCTTGCCTCCCTATGCAGAGAGCTCCTCTGAGCAGCTGCTCTCTGGGAAGGCAGGGCTCCGCTCTTCCCATCCGCACAGGAAGAGTGAGTGGATGGACTGCCAGAGATGCGAGGAGCCTCCAAAGGGACCAGTGAGAGAGGCAGGGATATTGTGGGGAAAACAAGTGTTCCATTTTGCTTTTTAATATTGTGGAAACAGTAAGAATCTCTTGGCAAAATGCATGAATTGTACCCATCCATATTCAGACTTGCAGTTTGTAGTTGGTGGTGGTTGTTTTGTTGTGCTTTTCTAACCTAGGATACAGTTTTGCTTTTGGTTCAATGTATGATTTTTTTAATCACATACTCTTAAAAATTTTCCTAAAGATTTTTTCTTTTGTTTTTTTACATAGAGTTTGTTTTCTTCTCCCCGTTCTAGAGAATTGAACCCAGGACCTTTGTACTGAACTACATCCCCAACCGTTATCATCATCATCATCATCATCATTAAGATTATTATTGTTAGTATTTTGAGACATCGTCTTGTTAAATTGCCTAGGTAGGGCTTGAAGTTGCAATCAACCTGCCTCAGCCTCCTGAAGTATTGAAATTACATGTGGAACACCAAACCTGGCTTATAACACTAATATTTTTTATTGTCATTAAACAATAAAAATTATCTTCTTATAATTTGTCTTTTAATTTTCCATTTTGAAATAATTTCAGGCTTCCAAAACAGTTATAAACATAGTATAAAGCATTTCCATCTACCTTACACCCATCTTCCACAAATATGAACATCTTATATAATATGACATGGTTGTCAGAATTAGTTAATGTTGATGTAGTATTAGTAACCTGCAGACCCCACTCAGGTGCTACCAGTTTTCGCTCAAATGCCCTTTTTTTGTTGGTTTGGTAGAAAATCCAGTTCCAAACTTTATGTTGTGTTTAGCTACTGTGTCTCCTTAGTCTCATTATCTGGGAGAATCCCTGTGTATATTTGTCTTTAACAGTCTGGACAGTTTTGAAGAGTGGTAGGCTATAACTTTGTAGAATTTCTCTCAGTTTTGGTTTGCCCAACTTGTCCTCATGAATAACTTAAGAACGTGTAGTTTTGGCAAATTATCACAGAAATGAGGCCCTTCCTGCTCGGGGCCTCCTATGAGCTGTGTGTGATACCCATGTGCCTCACTGTCAGTGATGGTCACTGTTTTCCTTTAACATGATATATGACATTTGCTTAATTCACCAGTCATTTTGTGAGATTAAATTTTTTGACAAGTAAAATTTCATAGACTTATGGTATACAACACGATGCTTTGATACACACACCAATTGTGGCATAACTAAACATACGAACTGCACACTTACCTTCATGTGTGGGGCTGTGAGGAGAACACTTTGTAACTACTCTCGGGAGTTTTAGGGATGCAATCCTGTTATGCACTGTAGTCACCACAGTGTACAAGAGATCTTTTAACGCTCTTTCTCATAACTGTAGCGTTACATTCTTTGACCACCATCTCCCCAACCCCCACACCCAAATACCAATTTCTTTTAAGAGTTTAGGGAAATTGTCTGACAGGTTTGTACATTGTGGATTTCAATAGTGTTTCCTCATGGTTAGGTTCAGGTTAAAAAGTTTTGCTAAGAAAACTGAATTAGTGACACTACATGTTGCATTTGGCATTTCATTATGTGGCAGTTAAT